CTTCGTGTGGACGGGGCTTAAGCATAGGTCAGTGTGAGACTGGAGACACTCCCAAGAAAAACAGGTCAACTGTCTAGAATCACTGCTTTTCACAGATCTGAATCTAGATTACCTTGATGACAGCTGATAGATCAGTGAAGTGAGCGTTGAGCTCCGCCCTTGACTCCGGTCCAAATGTTTGGTCACCAGTTTTTTCATGCATCTCCACGGCTTTCTCACTTAGGTGTGACAAAGCCGTCGCATGAGTGTCCACATCAGCTTGGATGGCCCGTAGCCGATCAAGTAAGGCACTCTTCTCTTTGAGGCCCGGTTGCTGAGGCTGAACCATCCCAACCTCCTGTTCAACCGACTCCATCCACTGCTGCAGCTGGCTTTTATTTTCTTGAAATGAGGTCCACTGGGTCACCGTCCACTCCAGTCGACTATGAATAATTATGATTTGTTAACTAATGTAGTAGTGCTTAAAGATAAACAAATACATAATGCAATGTTTTGCAAAAGTATTAAAAGCTATTCGAGCCACCAACTTCAATGCATTTTAAACTTGGCAGACCAATAAAGAGTAGAAGGTCCCCCTCATCTGCAGTTATAACACAATTCATGCTGTTACTGATGCTAATTCTTCTTCTCTAGTTCTGCATAAGTTTAGCAAATGCGTTAAGCTTTCAAGTCCTGCCACCAACTTTTAATTGGATTTAAGTTTTTAACTGCTGTATGCAATCCTAACATCCAAATATATTCTAATCTGACCCATTCTATAGTAACCTTTCCTGTATTTCTAGGACTATGTGTGTATGACACACTTCAAATTATTAGTTGTAAAGAAACAAAAAAAAGTTGCTTTTATAGCTTTAATGATATAGAACTTCATAGTGGGCCATTTAATTAACCTTAATAAAATAAACTAAAATTTGTGTCTTAAAGTGTCAAAAAGAAAAAGGTTCAAGGATACACAGCGATTCTTTTACCGATCGCAGTCTTCTGTAAAACTTCTCTCATCATAACAACAGAAGGACTTCTTCATACCTGTGGCAGCTCATTGCAGTCATTAGCATGTTGGCCCATGCATCCTTCAGGTTCTGCAGCTGTGAAGATATGGTCTCCTGCTCCTCAATCCTACTGTGTTTTAAAACCTGTTCTCCTTTTCCAACTGTCATGTTGAGTTTCACCTCACCCTCTCCCTTCATTAGCAGGATATCCTGAGGAAAGATGGGGAAACAACTGTCATCCGACAGCACAGCCTTTCAAAAATGATAAATTAAACAATAGCGCGTTGCTTTGCTTACTGACCTGTACGAGACCGAGTCTTTTTTCTAGAGTTTCTTTATTGCCAACAGTGCTGTTAAGAGAAGCCAGACGCTCCTGCACCCCATTAAGCCAGAGCCAGGTGGTCTGCAGAGTCTCTTCAAAGGCTTGTTGTTCCTGTAAAGTGAGCTGGCAGCTACGCAGCCTCTCCCTAACACACCTTAACAAAGCCTGGTGCTGGGACTGCAGCTGAGCTGAGACTCTGGTCTCGCTGCCATCCCCTCGTCCGCCTTCGTTTAGAGCCTGTCCCTCCTGACAGAGACGCTCAAATGAATCCCTATGTTAAATTTGGAAATGATTAGAGGGGGAATCTTTAGGATTGATGACATCATGACACACATACATTACAGCTTAGACAATATTGATTTCTTTCATTTCCTTAAATATAAACAACTTAAACACCTTTCTTTAAGCACTTCCTGCTGGTATTCCTCCACTTGCTCAGTCAAAGCTCTTTCAGAACCGCGCTGTTTGGCTTCAAGTAGATCTGTAGCCATTCTGCTTTCCATGTTTTCCAACCAACACTTCAGCTTCTTGAGGCGACCCTCAAACCTATAGAGGTTGTAATGATCTGGCTTTAAAAAATGGTTGATTCACCAACAGAGTTATATACCTAGTTCATTTAAGTCTGTTACCCTTTCATGAGGGACGCACTGTCCTCAAGGATCTGCTGGTTCTGCTTGCACTGCTCTACAAAGCTGTCCCAGTCTTGCTGGATGGATGAAAGGTGTTGCTGGACTTGCCCAGCACTGGCTTTTGGTAGATGAAGAAGAAGTTTCTCTCCTTCCTCACAGACTTGCTTAAGTCGTATCTCTCCTTCTTCCACCCGGTCCATTGCGCCCTGAGGGATAGAGCACGTCAGTCTAACTCTCATTTTCCTGTGCCCATTTAACTTTCAAGGAGTAAATAAACAATCACCTTGATTTTTTGCAGTTTACGTTCCACAATTTGAGTGTCTCCAGATCGGTCAGAGCATTCTTTAACAATCTCTCTTTGCTCTGAAAGCCACTGATGGAACTCCTGGACAAGATCTGAAGATAAAAATGAAAACAGACATTTTCCTCCTCGAATACACTCAAACAAAACATTTACACCTCATTTGGAAGTCTATAAAGAATTAGCTTCGAATTAGACCCAGTGTTAAATACAGCCAGAGTGTTTTAGGTAAGGCACAAATGCTGGCAGACAGATAGTCCCCTCCTTAGCTTGTAGTACTTGTGTCATTTAAAGGAGAATAAATCGAAGAGGAAACTTTTTGTTGCAGAAAAAAAACAAAGGTCTCGATGACAAAAATCATTGAAATCTGAAAATAAAGCTGTTGTGTTTTGTTTAAACTATTTAAACAAAACAACACTGGAGCAAAGACCTGTTACATCAATTACTTGTTTAATTAAGCTAAAAAGTTTATTCTTTAGAATAATTTCTACTTTACTTTTAGTATTTTAATTTTCATAACAAAACAAGTATTTACCTTTTCTTTCAAAATTTAGAATACATCTTAGTCCTGATATTTAGGAATCCAGTTTGCGTGGGTTGTTTTTGTGTTTTTTCTCTCTCCGCCACCAGGTGGTTCCCTGTTTCTCGTTGGGCCTACCTGCACACCGGCTCCATCATTACCGGAGGAGTATTTGAGCAGCGGGCTGCCACTACCTCGACGCCAGAGTGTTTGCCAGTGTTGGGAACTCTAGCCCAGCTGAGATTAGCAGAGTCTAACCGAAGCTTTGTTTCTGTGAGTCTAATCTTGTTTTTGTCTTTGCTCTTCTGCAGGAAGCCTTTCCTGTGTTTCTGGATAACCTGGACCTTCTCCCCCTGGAAGGATTACTGAGTACACACTGAGCAGGGGCAAACCTCCACATGATCTGTTCAAGTCCTCTTTGGAAAACTAGATTGGAATTGGAAAACCAATTGACACTCCGCTCCTTTACTCCTCTGGGTCCAACATATGTCTACCTATCCGCTCTCCAACGAGTTCCCCTCTCTTCTGGATTAATTCCCCATAAACTGGATTCAAGGATTAACAAGAGCCCCCTCAAACGTGAGTTTCTCCTCAGCTATATTCAAGCCTCAGTCAATTTTTCTACAGTCCCTGAACTGTTCACTTTGACCTCTCCTTCAGACTTTCTGGTTTCGGTTCACCAGTCCACCGAGTTCCAGCTCCTAATTCTTTTTTTCATCAACATTCAATAAACCTGTTAAACTTTTTCCCTTGGTCTCTAAGTGGTTCTCTGCCTGTGGGTCAGATCACTTAAACCCATTATGACAGCAACAGATTTAGCTCTATTATTTAAATGCTGCAAAATTAAATTACAGCACACCGTGATGATACAGGAATGGTGATCAAAATACATATCTTTATTTCATTGTTTGTGCAGCAATAATAAAATCTGATAACCTAAGGCTGAAAATATTGTCTTAATCCTAGGGATGCACGATATTGGGATTTTGGCCGATATCCAATATGCCGATATTTTAAAACTCATGTAGCCGATAACC